CTAACTGAACCCATTCTCATAAAAGAATCAGCAAGCAGACAATTAAAAGCAGCCAGGAGTCAGCAGAGGAAGACAAGGAGAAACCATTGTTTTGCATCTGACCTGTTTAGCAAATAAAAAGCCATAAACACAGCAGATCTGAACAAACTATGCATCAGACAGCCAAGACTAAAATGGAGCTAACCACCCAACCCTCTATAAAACAACGCCTGCAGGGCTCATAATAGCTTTTTTTATGTAGGGCAGGTCTGTTTCCCAGTGCTTTTCAGATTTTAGGCTCAAGTCCCTGTAGTCCTCATTATTGCATGTTTGTGCTCAATCCTAAATAAACCATCAAAAAAAAAATCCACTTACACTGGATACACATAGCACGCACATTAGTTCTAAGTATTAAGTCAGTCTTCTATCTGGAATCAGAGTCAGGGAATGAATCACCAAATGCAAAGTAGTGCATGTATTCAATGATGAATGTAGGATGGAGAAGTAATCATAATTAATCATAGGTAGCATAACATAGCATGACCATTAAAATAAGGCCTCAACTAATGGAAAACTAAAAACAGTTAGAACTGTCCAAAATGTGTTCATAGGAATTAATCAGTTATCTAACAAAATAAAAGATGCAGAAAACGTCAATGAAATCATATTAGCTTCCAGAAAATGCATTCCATCACGACTAACACATTTTATCAAGTATTGACATAGCTGACAGAGAAAGAGAAGCTACTTGGGTCTGGTAGAATTTACACAGAACAGGTTTAAGACAAGTCTAGCTGGACTACAGCTGAAGGACCAAGCTCAGCAAAAAATCTGAACAAATGCAACCCAGTCTAATGGAATGAATATATAGAATTAGTTGAAAATGAGGTTACTGCTAACAAAAATACAAAATATATTATTATATCCTGCTCATATCCAATGCATTGTGAAATAATAGAGGTTATTAACACCACTGCACTATGCAGTCTGGACCTACACTTGATCAATGCCATTTTTACAGTTCATTACAAACAAATGATTTGCAAGCTTACACACAGTAGCACTTAACAAATGACTGTTTTTTTGCAAACTGCTGATAAATGTTTAGGTCTTACACGATTCTTATATGTGCATGCATGCAGGACGCATGCTTGCAGTAGTAACAAATAACATCAGTAACATCATGCAACTATAATTATCTGGACGAAAGTTTTAGTGTTTTGTAAAACTGTTCAAGAATCATATATGACCCACTAGCAACCTCTCACCCTGAGCCTTAGAAACACAAGATGTGAAAACTGAAAGTAACCTTCCCATTTGATGGTTGAATTTTTCAGTTTCAGTAATTTGTACTTCAATTGCTTTTCTGGCCTCAAATTGAACCAGGAGGAACCTAAAACTACCCAGTTTTCCCTACTCAAGGGATTATCAAGAACATGAGTCCAAACAAAGGATAGGCATTTTAATCAACATTACTTTCAGATCATCCCCAACTGTAAATTGTCTTCCAATCTATGCAGAGTTTTAAATAGATGTTCTTTTGGTTTATTTTTTTGAAGGACTTTAACACAAGACTTTGATGGCTGCAGTAGTATTTGATTTTGTATATTTTGTCTTGTTTGTACTGTGGCATCTAATTTCAGTATGCCAAACATACTTTACCAGTCCAACATCTAGTATTTCGTACCACATTTTTCTTCTTTATTTGTTCTTTAAAAATGTTTGCCAAAACCTCATTGCCAATTTAGCGCTACAGGTTAAAGTGGGATTTGGTGTGGTCCAGTGATGCAGAGGGTTGAAATGACTCAATCAAAAACAAGACAGGCTATAATCAGCTGGCCTGTACTGTTCCTGTGGCTTTGAGTTTGACTTATCTTTATCAATTTAGCCAGTTGAATTCTACAAAAAAGCAGATGCTACCTAGGCTGTAACTGGACAAGAATGAGCAGGATAAACGATATCTGTAGAGTTTTAAAGTATACGTTGGTTTTCACATTTTCTCCTAAAGCAATACCAAGCTGCAGCAAACAAAAACCCTCTTGATGTTTTTCTATAAATGATCACTCTCTCCACTTTCACCCCTGGTTAGCACCTTTTGGGTCTTGTAGTGTCAACCAAATCCAAACACTACCCATGTGTGGTGCTATCATTGGCAACCTTGTTAATAAAACTGAGAAAGTGGTCTGGTTTTCTTCTGTTGCTTGAGCTCTGTTATATTACGTTCCAACTAATAAGCCAATAAAAAGATTTCAACAGAAAACCCAAGGATCAAGTTGATGTCATCGATGCAAACTCAAACTGAACTTACCAAAAGCAGCAGTTCCTCCAGGAGGCTGAGGTCCCACCATTGTCTGTTGCCCCCCTGGAGTTGGGGGTACAAGTCGGGACCAGGATTTATCCACAGCAGGGCCAACTGTGACCACCCCAACATACTCTACAAATGTCCCTGGAAAGTTTCCCTTCTCCTTGGTCCTCTCATTAATCCCATGCAACCAACCTTTGGGACTCCGCTCATCCCCCTCCTGGTACTCCAGCCCCACTGCTGCCATCAGTGTGGCCTTCAGAACAGTGAGCAGGTCGCCTGGCTGGAGACTGATATCATCCCCATGCTCACGCTCATATTCAAAAAGCGCCCGGTACTGGAAGCTGTGAGATGCCATAGCAACAAGAGTTCACAGGAAGCTACAAAGCTAAACCTATTGATGTCACCTGAGATTTTTTGTATTAAAAGTGAAATTAAATAGTACTAAATGAAAACTCAGTTAATTCAGAATACCTGAGGTGAAACTGGTTCTCGCTCTAAACCTGGGAATCATGGGCTGCCACCTGAGATTTGACCTGCCATGCTCACTGAGATGAACCAATTGAAATACATCTGTTAAAAATCCTATCCCTGAGGTGCAATTGGACCCATAACCCCTTAAAGAAAAGGTCCAAAGTTCTTTATCCAAAACTTCCTCAATTGTAGTGAACTGAACAGTCGGCTGGTCTTTCCTGATTTGGATATCCACACAGTTCCTTAAAAATCCACAGTAATTCACCTGTCAGTCACAGGGACCCAGTCTGAGGCTTGTGTGCTTTTACAATCCAAATATTCAAAAAGGCAGATTACCCAACAAACAGTGCCTGTGATTTGAAAAGACAAAAGACAAGATTGTTTCGGGACACCAGGCAGTCTGGAAACTGAAGGGTGTCCAACTTTTGCCGGACCTTTAGATGAAATCCCAGAGTGTAGATATTTTCTCCTGATGGTAATCAGTCTACTTGGAAGCCACACACATATACACACTCACACACATACACACACACCTGAGGAAATCCACTGCACTGCAGAATTTGGCTTTCTTTACAGAGTGCCTCTGTGTGCACTCTTCTATATAAGATCCTGCTGCCTCTACTTTCTTGTCTGCGTAACCATCTGACGCAGACTGACACTCCTACAAACTTAAAATGGAGTTAGATTGTCAACAAATGTACTGTCTTTAATCCAGCCTGTTAGAATCTTAAACCAAGAATATAATGACGCATGTTTTTTGCACTAGAGAAATAATAAAAAAAAATATTACAATATCTGCCTGAGGGTCAGTTTGAATAAATAAAAAATAATCAAAATGTAATAATATTTTAAATAAAACGCATATCTCACACCATTCTGTTTGCAAGCTGATGGACCCTAAATATTACCAGTTACAAGAAGCATGACTAGGCGAATATGAAGTTCGCCATGCTCTAGTCTGCCCTGCTGTCGGCTTCCCACAAACACGCCCCAAACTCACCACTGAAACTGCACAGAGGAACTCTCCCCTTCCACTGATGGCTCGGTGCGCGAACTGTTAAGCTTCGCCAGTACCTGAAAACCCACAGAACGACCCAAATAATCAAAGCCCCGACTGGAGGATAAGTTGATGGCGTTGGCTGGTTAGAAGACAGGCAGCCTGCTCTGTGTCGTAGAGAGCGGCAGTGCTGATGTCAGTAAAGCCCTCCTCCGCCTTGTAAAATATACCAGTGAGCGGCCGAGACGGGACGGGTCGGTGCGGCGCACAGACGCAGCAGCTGCAGCAAAATAACGAATCCCATATAGGTTTTATTTTTTATTTATTTTTATTTTTTTGCGTCTGTCATTATAATGTTACTGAGAGTTAAGATTAGATGGGAATTGTGAAGATGCCAAAAAGCATGAATTATGTAACAACTGTGGGACCTCCAGTGCGAGTCTGCAGGTGTCCGAATGCCGAGTTCGCATTTTAGGAATGAATGAATAAGTAGAACAGAAGATAGAGGCATGCGTGATGGAGAACGGCAGCGCAGCTTTGTTTGTAGTCTGATGCACAAATGACGCAGCAACAGAGAGCCAGAGATTGCTGCGTCATCAGGTGCGCACATTTCCAGTGTAGAGATGGAGAGCACTCCATACTGCAAGAGGACAGATTATTCCTGCAGAGGTCAGCAAAATAGGACGATAGAAAAGTGCGTGTGTGTGTGTATGTGTATGTTATGCACACATGCAAACACATGTGCACATATGTATGGTTGATTTTAAAAACTGGTTTAGTTTTGCCATTTTACCTGCTTTGTTCTTGGGGTTTGGTTTTGGATGGGATAGTGCATTTGATATATTCTACTTGCCTCTATCCCGTTCTGAGACAATGTTTAAAAGGAGATATAAAGTAAAGCAAATCTATAACCAAAACAAGAGGCGAAACATGACCCGCAACACGAACATCTACACTAAAAATGAAAAAAAAAACGAACAAAAAGACTTCTATGCAGAGACCAGAGACCATACCAGAGACCATAGCTGCACCAGTGGCTCCAGCAGTCCCCAAACACAACCACAAACACACACACACACACACACACACACACACACACAGTGTGACACATTGTCACTTATCAGCTTGATAAGTCAACTCAGAATTTATCAGTCTAGCTAATTTCTCAAACTGATTTACATGAAAAGGGTAGTGTTGGCCCCATATGACCAGCTACTGGTATGCTACCAGCAGGAGTTTAAATACATAACACAGTCTGAAAGCAGCACAGCTTCTGCAGAGAAATCAGTGGCATAAGTGCCTGTAACAACACAAGCACTGCACAATAAATAAGGGTTTAAAATTATTTAGCAGTGTGTGTGTGTGTGTGTGTGTGTGTGTGCTTTATTTAGTTTCATCAGTAATACTGGAAAAGCCCCACTGTAATAAAGAAGGAAGGAAACATGCCAAAATATTGGTTGTGTGAGGCATGTGTGATGGAGAATGTAAATGTAAGTTAATAAACATATTAGTATTAGAACTCTATCATTAACCCTGATTGGTTTCAACTGTTACTCCATTAAATGAATACTTTGAGATGTTCAGGGGCAATGGGATATATTCAAATGCTTTATGAGATTCTTATCTGGGCTTCAAGATTTAAAAAAAAAATCCTTTTCTTACTATGTCACATTCTGTTTAACTACTAACAACTTTCACTAAACAAATGTGCTGTATAAACAGACCAATCAATCTCAAAGAGTTTTGAAAACTATATTTAAATATATTTAGAGGAAAACAAACATTAGGAACACAAAAACAAAACGGAAAAGATGTGGCAGCCATGGTTTGTTGCATGATCATTTAATTATATTCATCATTCAGAGAAAACCATGCTTTTTTAATGGCAGTTCTCATGATTTGGAAATTCATTTTAACTCACATATGGCTTATTTATATAACCATATAGGCAAATGATAACAGCAGTTGCCTCAAGTTGCTTTATGTTGTAAGGTAAAGACCCTACAATAATACAGAGAAAAGCCCAACGATCAGATGACCCCATATGCAAAAGCACTTTGATGACAATGGGAAGGAAAAACTCCCTTTTAACAAGAAGAAGCATCTGGCCTCAGAGAGGGGCGGCCAATTGTGGATGAGGAAGACAGGTCAAGGATATGCTTGTCAGTGGGGTAAAGGAGATCCTTGAAGTATTCCTTCCACTACCGAGTATGTCTCACCGTGTCCAATCAGTGAGTGCACCACTGCCTTTCCCTACTTATTCACCTGATAGTTTTCCAGATTCAGAATAAGAATGAGAATGTGAGGCAGTCCAAAAGTCTTGTTCCATGGCATAGCCAAACTACATATTTATTTAATATGCACATTGAAGTACATATCCTGGTCAAAAATGACTCTATATAAATACAATATAAAAATATATATTAAAAAAATCTTGAGTAAACATCTGGTTAGACCATACTGCTAAGATTTTTAAGGCTAAAAATAATAACCACAGTTTTATCTAAATTTAGACACAGGAAATCAGGGGTTATCCAGGTCTTTATATCTTTAACCTTCTGGAGTCGTCAGACAGGCCAGCGTGTCCGTGACAGATTTAAGATGATGTAGCAGCAATGAGTCTTCATGAGTCTTCACTTCAACTCTAAAGTGCGGACTTGAAACTATGCCAAGTAAAACTAGAGAAATAAATAATTTGCGCCATGGTTTTTCCTGTATACTGTTGTCTAAAGTGGATGAAGCGTTCCAAGCAGAAAGTGCTGGCGAGCAAACAAAAAAAAAAAGCCCCAGGACAAACAATCAAAGAATTATATGGCAATAACAGTCATTAAAAACCCTGGAGGTGGCTTTTGTTTTATTGCCATGTAGAAAGATGGAATGAAATGTTGCTGCATAGGTATATGCTAATTAAGTGACCACTCCTATACCATAACATCTCCTCCTCTATGCTTCCTTTCCTCTGTGATTACAATTTAAATGAGCTTTGGCCAATAGAAGATGGCTCATGTTCACTAGGAATGGGAATCTACCGGACTACTGGACTACCAAGTAATCCAATTTCTTGGAATTGTTAGCCTTATGTGTATTGCACAAAAGGATGAGTTAAATGGCAAAGTGGAAAACTGCTTCCAGGACAGAAA